GCTGTGGGGGGGGGCGGGGGGGGCGCGTATGCTGCTCACTTACTCCTAGAGCTTAGAAATTATTCTGTACTATCACCAAGAAACACATCCCTCCAAAGTGAAGGAAGAGAAAAGCACCTTATGAGGTTTCTCAGACAAGAGCCTCTGTTGTAACAGAGTTTCTTATTTAACACCTACATGGTTAAAGAGTCAGAATTATCTTCTTTAAGCACCTTGGCTCCATCCCCCTCCCGTTCCAGTACTATATCCTAACCTTATGGTAATAAAAATTAAAGAAAAAGAAAAAGGTTGCACGAAGGACAGCTGAGCTGATGTAAATCATGGGGTGCACACATTTTTCCCCTATAATAGTATTAGAAGACAGGGGCAACACGCATCAAGAAATCTAGCTCTGGGTTCAGTGCCAAATAGCATCTCTGTCAGAGAAGTCGTCAATGACAGATCAGTCATTTTCAAAGCAATGAGAAATATGGGGGACCTCTGACATCCCCAAAACAGCTCTCTGCTTCTGCTCAAAGTCAGACCCCGACCAGATAAGGCTGCATTCTTTGGATTCTCCTGGAAAGACAAGGGACTTACTCCTGCCTGCTGCCTCACTCCCCAGGGACCAGGGCCCAACCCTTGTACCACAAACCCTACCACAAGGAGAGCAAGAATTAGGACTATATCTGCATTTGCGTGTATCCAATCTTCATGCCCTAAAGATAACACTGTGTTATAAAACTACAACTTTAAACTCACAAGGCAGTCCTTGCAATTTTATATTCCCCCACCACTACCACCACGTTTCCCTAACGAAGTCTGAGACAGAGCAGTTAAAAGTTACTCCGGAGAAACTCAGAAAGCCCCAAAAACCTGATATGGGGCTGTTTGTGTGAAGCCCCTGCAGAGGCAGAGCAGCCAGGGTGCTCCCAGCCCAGGGGAGATCCAGCCCTGCACAGATCTCTTTACCCCCTACCTCTTTACAAACTGCTGGTGGTGAAGGTGGAGTCCACAAAATTACAGCACCTCTGAATTTTTTCTGGGACTCTCTTCATCTGCATCATGGCTGATGTTTAAGAGCAGACAGTGACTTGTGCTCTGCAGAGTACATCTTTAATGACCATCACACTGCTGATCCTTGGAGAAGAACGTGAATAAGAGAAGAAAAGGAAAACCACCGAATGGTTCAGGCAGAATATATTTGGGCCAAAAAAAAAAGGAACAAAAATCCCTTCTTTCTGGTTAACACAGATCTCAGCTGCACAGCCCCGGTACAAGAGGATTACAGGTTAACACGGACAGCTAGGCTCACTCCTACTGTTTAAGGAGCACAAAGTGAGTATTAAGTTCTACCTAGTCCAGAGACCACCAGAACAGACATTCATTCACCTTCGTCACCTAAATAAATGCAGCATCTGCTAACAGCAAGGCATTTCTATAACCTCCTAAATTTCTAAGTCCTACTTCAGTCCTAAATCCAAGTCCTGCAGAGGACTTTGTGAATTTAATTTTTTTTTTCCCCAATCAAGAAGGCAGACCTTTCCACCTCCACACCCTGTAGCCACCCCCACCAGCTAACACCTGGGACCTGTAACATCGCTCATACTCCTTATAGCCTGCACATTTACCTTCAGCTGTAAGAAATCCACAAAGGCTTCCCGGTTGTTCTCCCTGAGCTCACCACCCTTTTTCTCCAGACCACACCTCCATTCTGGCCAACAAAGGTAAAGAGAAGAGACTTCTCTTTCTGGGACCCACCTTTCTGGGTCACACACTCTTTTCTTCAGGCTTACACTGAACCTCCCCACCTTGAGAGCATCCCAAGGCGCACGCAGGAAACGTGATCTCAGAAGACAGAAAGTGGGAGCAAATAAGGTGGTAGATATGGAATTTGGCTCCATCGCCTAAGAGGGCTTGGGCTTAAAGGTAAAAACACTTCTGGTTGTACATTCAGTTTGTCTTCTGCTTGAGGCCACTCGGCTCTATGGTGCGATAATTGCCAAGGGAATTACTCCAAATCTCTTACTGTCTGCAGAAACACAGTAAGAGAGACTACAGAGTATTACTGCCACCAAGCCACTACGAACTGGGTTTTAATGTGGTACAAATAAATAAATAAGAAAAAAGCCTCTGTGTTTTTCAGTTAATGTTTCCAATACCACTGGTAATTCTTCTAACTCTGCAGCTTCACAGGGTTCCAAGAAACAGCTAGCCAAGTTAATCTCCTGGATTAACAATCTAATTACACAGGCTTGTTTCAACCTGTGAACTAAAGAGGTAGTGCTTTATTTTGTCTGTGCCCCCCACCCCACCCTGCCATTTGAATGGCACAAGCTTCTTATAAAAGTTTTGGGTGAAAAGTCTCTTTGGAGGGCAGTGCTACCAACTACTGAAAGGGCTTTGGTAGAGCAGCCTAAGAACCAAAGGAGAAGCATACACAAATTCAGCTTAGCTTTCTTTTGCGGAAGCAGCCATTTCAAAGGCCAGGGACCCTCCAGTTTCTCATTAGTGCTCCCCTTAAGCATCTGAAGCACAAATTCTGCAGTAAAACAAATAAATTAGTGTTTCAAGAATTGGTTTGTTAAAATTAACCAGGAGCTGCAAGAGCCCCACACCCTCGAAGTTCCCAAATTCTCAAGGCATTTTTGTTTACTGCATTGCATGTTCGTACGGTCTCTCCAGTATCTGCACACCTCATAGCCGCTGAGGGACAGGTGGTTCTCTATTGCGCATTGAATATATTAACATAGAGATTTGGTAGCAACTCTCAAAATTAATTGTTCATATTAAAATTGGTGACAGCATCCTTTGTCTCAGACTGAAAATTAACTTTTGAGTAAATTTCTAGATGTATTCTGCAAATGAAAAGTGTAACAAACGTTCTAGCTTATTTTTAAGAGATGTTTTAATTTTCACTGCAAAATTAGTCAGCTACAGTACTATTTTGATTAGGTCTCAATAAGCATCAAGTCTGAAATCTGCTTTGAAGTTTTAGTGGCACGAGGGCTTGCAGGTTAAGCCAATAAAACACCTTCTGCAACTCTGAGGTCTTTTCCTTTTTATTCAAGGACAGCACCGTTACCCTACGCATATATTAAACTCTCCCCCTCCCCTTTTAAAAAAAAGGGACATTTTATCTCATTTACTATACTAGATAAGCCATGCCTACAGCAAAGTCAGCAATTCAGATAACGGGCAAGATGCCCCACTTATCCTAGTAATCTTGTAGAAGACGGGCTCACAAACATTTTCAATCGTGGGCCAACTTATCTCCCTCCTCCTGCAGGAACCACAAGGGAAACCTTTTGTGACCGAACCAACCCACATCTGAAAAAACTGAACTGTAGAATCAGCTCGTGAGTTGGCAGACATCTCAGAGACCAAGGTGGAGCTGGAAAAGCTCCATGAACGCAACTTGGCCATATTCACCTCCCTCCACACAGATGTTGACCTGCTGGGAAATCACTACTGTTCCTCAAAACAGAAGGATGTTTCTAAAGATGCATCGGACAGCCTTCCTCTCCTAGGAAAGGTGCGCTGCGCTCGATAAGCCCCTAGACGCACAGACCGCGTCAGCACAGCATAGTCGATCGTCCTCCAGCGTGGGCCACAACTAGTCACAGAGGGCAGGAGAGCTGGAGGGGGTTCTCACCATGTGGTATCTTTACCTGTGATACAATACGGCTCCTCACTGGGCTGCCCAGTTAGGACTCATCCTGGCCAGACACAGCGCTGGCCTGGAGACACGGCAGGCCTGAGAAGCCCCCAGATCCCATTCGGCATTTTCGCTCCTCCTGTGCTTCCCGTTCAGGACTGCCTTCCGTGACCTTTGGAGCTGCAGCAGCCGTAACACTTTAGCACAAGCCAATACACGCACGACCAGGGCAGGGCAAAATGCTTTCCGAATGGCTCCAAGGGAATAGCCAAGACCTACGCTGCAGCTGTGCGGCGGCTTTTTCCAAGCTGCTACAAGTGGCTAAACAACATAGCTTATTCTTTGAGGGAGGCCGGCCCCATTATGTACGATATAACTCAAGGTGTTGGTCCGGGCTTTGCTTAAGTGTGACAAAGGCCACGTTTGCCTAGGGAATATTTAATTGCCCAGCTGTCTTCGCTGTGTTTGGTCAGACCTTCATACCCGTTGTCGCTGTCGGTACGTAGGGCCGTCAGACCTTCATCCCCGTTGTCGCTGTCGGTACGTAGGGCCACAGCCATGGCACTCCTGCGTGTGGGCATGGGTTGGTTGGGTTTGCTCTTTTTCAAGTACGCACCCAAGATGTGTAACTCTGAGCGATATCGCTTGGTTTGGGTCTCAAAAAATAAGGTGTTGCACTGGCAGAATAAGCAGTATTATCATCTCGTTTGGCTTCAGAAGCGTTTGAACGGCTGTTAAGCACAATTACCGGCATTTACACGCATTACATAGACTGAGCCAAGAAAAAACAAGGGGAAAAAAACCACCCGACAGCAACAAAAAAG